GGTATATATGCACTATATTTTTCATACAAAGAAAATGTTGGCTTGAATCTAAATATGAAATCCAGCTATAATATGAAGATCTGTGTGGCTCTCTTAGAGCTATGTAGAATAAATATTACATGTATTATAGTTAATTTCTCCTTCTTCTCTTATATATGTACTCACCTATTATTCAGACTTGGCTGAACTAATTCCTGAGAGGATTTAAAAACTCATTCTTCAGTTCACTGTATGTTTGGCAAAGCAAGAAGGGTGCACCCATGAGGTGAATTGCATAATTAAGATTCTAAATAGTTTCCAGCAAACCTTTAAATTTTTTTTTTCTTTACAAAAACTTCTTATGCCATTTTCTAAACTGAAGTGATGTTATAAAGCAGCTTTAAACCCCTTTATCTGAATTGTGTGCTACTGTAGAGACACCAATGTGTTTCAGAAACCAAAATTTACTCTTTTTTTCTTTTGGTTTTGAACAGCTTTGAGTAATTTCTTTTCCTTAAAAAGTCCTTATTAAAAAAAAAAAAAAAAGTGAAACATACCTAGTGTTAGCAAAACTTGTATTTTTAAGGTCGATGTTTAAAGCACTGCTGTGACAGCACTATTAATTAATTTCTTTTTGTTATAGCTAAGTTTTCATGTTGCTACTTAAGGTAAGCCCAGTTTGGTGGGGAAGGTGATATGGTGGTATCTGTCGTTAGATCAGCTAATACAGTGAGAAAGTGGGTAAACCTTTTGCATTAGGGTACTTCAGCTGACTTTTTTTCATGTTTAGGATAGCAAAATTTCACTGTTTCCAGTGTTTAAGTAGCAGTGTTCTTGTAATCTGATGGCTTTAATAGTTCTGGACAATTGTCTCTTTCCTGTTATGTAAGGTGGTCTAATAAAAATGCTTGCCTGTCTTTACAAAATTTGCTCTCCTCATATTCTTAGACCATAACAGCTATATCAAGCAAACAAACAAAAAAGCAAAATAACTTTTTGTCAATGCTATTAATAAACACTTTTGCATGTTTTTCAGTCATGGGAATAAAGAAGGATTTTCCTGCCGGGGAATTCAACTAGCTGTTGATTGGTTTCTGGAAAAAGGACATAAAGATATAACTGTGTTTGTCCCTGCATGGAGAAAAGAGCAGTCTCGACCTGATGCACCAATTACAGGTAACAGATCAAGATTTGTTTGTTTGTTTGTTTTTTAACACCTTGGTAAAAAATTGTATTGCATCAAGACACAAGCATATCATCCTTCTCTGAGCACTACATACTGGGCTATGGCTGTGAGGTTGCACAGCACTCATCTGTTCATTTGAAAACACAGGACAGCTTCACTGGTAAGGGTAGCTGCATCTAAAAATAACACTGTTTTTTGTAATGTTAGTGGATCATTTCAGCACCCTGAGAAGCAGTATTTGTAATTTTCCCAGTAGGAAAGAGATTTAAGAATATAAGAAGTGATTTTTATTTGCTGGGCTAGTATAAAATAAGTATTACCAGGCCAGAGATTCGTTTAGTAGGGTTACCTTGAGTGCTGAAGAGGCAGCATAGGTTTTGACACACAGAAAGTACTTCTGTTTATCTCTGGGCTACCAAGAAGGCTATTGTAATATGGTAACAACTGAGTTCTTGACATGTTCAGAAAGAGTGAGAAAAAGAACGTAGTTGTTTAGAGAGGAGTAGAAGTGGTTATGAAGCCTAAATGCTGAATATTTGCCAATTGCTTTGAAACTTCAGAAATACTTAATGGCACTTTATAGCTAGGTATTTTTGTGATAATGAGGACTTTCTATGAGCATAATTATACAGCACTTTGTCAGAAAAGAGGAAGTTTTGTATTCCAAAAGCTGCATTTCTTTCCTTTAAAACTTTTGAGAAGCTGCTCAACCAAACTTATTTTACAGATCAAGAAATCTTACGTAAATTGGAGAAAGAAAAAATTCTTGTTTTTACCCCATCTCGAAGAGTTCAGGGAAGGAGAGTCGTTTGCTATGATGATCGCTTCATAGTAAAACTTGCTTTTGACTCGGATGGCATCATTGTATCAAATGACAACTATCGTGATCTTCAGAATGAAAAACCAGAATGGAAGAAATTCATAGAGGAACGGCTGCTCATGTATTCTTTTGTGAATGACAAGTATGTTTTTTCTTCCTTTAAAACTAAGGGAATTTGCTGATTCAGAATCTTCAGTAAAAACTGAAATTCACATTTCTTTTCCCTTAGGTTTATGCCTCCTGATGATCCTCTGGGACGCCATGGTCCAAGCCTTGAAAATTTTTTAAGAAAAAGGCCAGTTATTCCTGAACATAAAAAACAACCATGTCCTTACGGTAAGTGTGTAAGTCAGATGGACTTGCTGCATTCAAAGGGAGGTCAAGTAAGCAATTAACATCTTGTCATTACTTAAAAAGCAAAATACGCCATTCTTCTTGTTGCCATCCAAGAACTATATCCTTTTTTATACCAAGCATAGTTATATTAATAAAAACAATATAGCATAAAATTGAAGATAACCAGATATTTCAAAATATTACCAAATGCCTTGTGGGTTTGAGAGTTGTGTGCTATTTTATTCTGGTTTGTATTCAAGGAGGGAGATTCATAACTACACACCTTTTGTTGGAGATGTTTGGTTTTATATAGCATTGAGTGTGTTGTTGGTACTTTGAATCATGAGCAGTAGGGGGAAGAAAAAAAAAAAAAGGTACTTTGGCCTTGTTGCAGTGATGTACCTGGATACAGGTAGCAGTCAGTGATTGCCTGTATGTATGATTTCTCCTTACAGTGACAGTATACAAACATTACTATTGAGAAACAATGAAATATATAAAGATATCAGCTAGTGGTGTCGATTAGATTTTGGTTTATTTAACCTGAAGACGCTTTTCTTACAGGTAAAAAGTGCACCTATGGGCACAAATGTAAATATTACCACCCAGAACGGGCAAACCAGCCTCAAAGGTCAGTAGCGGATGAGCTTCGAATAAGTGCCAAATTATCTGCTGTGAAAACTATGAGTGAGGGAGCCTTGGCCAAATGTGGCACAGGGCCATCCAGCTCCAAAGGAGAGATCAATTCTGAAGTGAAACGCATTACCCCAAAGCGTCAGTCAGATCCAAGCATTAGATCGGTAGCTGTGGAGCCTGAGGAAAAGTTATCAGTAGCCCGGAAGTCGGAGGCCAGCTCTGTCCCATCTCTGGTTTCTGCATTAAGTGTACCAACACTCCCTCCACCAAAAAGCCATGCAGCTGGTGCATTAAATACTCGTTCTGCAAGCAGCCCAGTGCCAGGTTCCTCACAGTTCACGCATCAGAAATCCTCACTGGAACACATGTCCAGTGTGCAATATCCTCCTATACTAGTCACCAATAGCCACGGTACCTCAGTTAGCTATACGGAGCAGTATCCCAAATATGAATCGTTAGGGGACCACGGCTATTATTCCTTACTCAGTGATTTTTCCAATTTAAGCATAAGTAGTATGCGTAACACAGATTATTATGGGGCTGATACAGACCAGGGGATGTATTCTAGAAACTCAAGTCCCTGTCCTGAAACTCGCTTAAGCCATACAAGTAATGATTCTTATTCCTCTTACAATGACTTGTATCTGGGTGTAGCAGATGCCAGTCCAGAAGACAATGTGAAGATCCACAGACTTTCATCACAAAATCGTCTTCAGCCTTTTTCCCATGGTTACCACGAAGCCTTAAATAGAGTTCAGAGTTATGGAACTGAAGAGCCTAAGCAATCCCTCCGCAAACAGTCAGTTTCCCACTTAGGCCTACATGCCCAGCATCCAGTTGTTGGAGCACGGTCCAGTTGTCCAGGAGACTACCCTGTGCCTCAAAATGTTCATCCAGCTGCACAACCAAGCCGTGCCTTGGTCATGACAAGAATGGACAGTATTTCTGATTCACGACTCTATGAAAGTAACCCAACAAGGCAGAGAAGACCACCTCTCTGTCGAGAACAGCATGCTAGTTGGGATCCATTACCATGTGCATCAGACTCTTATGCTTATCACTCTTATCCATTGAGCAACAACCTCATGCAGCCATGTTATGAGCCTGTAATGGTGAGAAGCATGCCTGAGAAGATGGAGCAACTCTGGAGGAATCCCTGGATTGGGGTATGTGGTGAGCCACGGGAACCACATATCATCCCAGAACATCAGTATCAAACATACAAAAATCTGTGCAATATTTTCCCTCCAGGCATTGTCCTTTCTGTGATGGAGAAGAATCCCCACATGACAGATGCACAACAGCTGGCAGCTATGATTGTTGCCAAATTAAGAACAGGGCGTTAAATCATTACAGCCTCTTTTAGACTGATGAACCACACAGCAGACAGGAACTGGAGGAAAACTTACATGATGAAGTGGGCAAATCTATTGTAAATATATTTTTTTAACATTCTAGTATAAAATTCTGTACACAGTAGCAAGCATCTATTATATATACACACACACACACACACACACACACACACACACACAAATATATATATCTATGCCTAGGCACTGTATAAGAGCCGATTGCATTGTAAATTTTAATATTTTTTTTTTTAATGTAGGGATTTTTAATAGTATTTCACAGGAAATGCATACCTTGCTGCATGGATATATCATTAAGAATTAGAATGTCACGTTCAGTGTCTCGAAGCTGTTAATACAAAATTATGTTAGCAATTATATTGCATGTACTAGCGTATACTTTCAATTTCAAAATAAATATCTAATTGGCCTTTCAAAGTATGCTCTATGCAGTCCCAGATCACCTTAGGATTTCAGCTTTGTCACGTGACAGTGCCTATTGGCATGTCAAATATTTAAGAAGAAATAAACTTGACAAAAAAATTAAAATACCCACTTTGTAAAAGCAAAAATGATTTATTCTTTTTTCAGCTTTTACATGTCAATATTGTTGATATTTCTTAAATTTTAAAACTGTTCACTGAGAGTTTGAGTATCTATTAGGACATCCAATACTTTGGCTCAATGCAGTGGAAGCCAAAGTCATTATCAAATCAGGACCAAAATAGTAAGGTGGGTGGAGGAGTGAGCTCCACTGAAAAAACTAAAAGGAATTTAAAACTGTAGCGTCCCTCTTCAGAATTGGCTGTCACCTGTACTGTAAACAACTACCATTCTGGAAGAATAGAAAGGTTACAGGTAAAAACTGTTAATTTTCATGTAAATTGGATTACTCAGCCTCGGGCAGAGTGAAACAGATGTTAACATGGATAGTCAGCAGTAACTGCAGCCCTTCTTCTGAGAGCAGGGATGGCATTTGAGTGACACTAACATTCAAGATTGCTGCACAGCTCAACTTGAGCAGGAGCAGGGTGCTGCTTCTTGAAAAGAGATGCTACAGTTTGAGCTTGTGGCAAAGCTTTCCTGGTTTTGCTCTGGAGATCCACGCAAAGGTGTGCATTTGCCTCATGAAAGCTTTTAGAACTCTTGTTGCAACAGGTGAGAAGAAAATTGTGTGTGGCATTGTTTGCGCAACTGGTTATCTTGCTCAGGGTGGGAACCTTTGTAGCTAAATGTCTCCAAAAGAGGCGTTTATTGTTTTTTTTAAGCTGCACTGACTGGACGCCCTTTTTTGAATCCACTGTATATTTCAACATTTTAAACCATTACTAACTCGATATGTCTCGAGCTAGGACTTGTTGACTTCTACTGTAGTTTTTTTTCATGAAAGTTGAGAAGGCCTGGTTTATGGCCTTTTGTCTCTTCATGAGAAGGTGTGACACTGCCTAAATGTTTCTTACTGTGAAACACACGGAACGTGAGGCTGCAGTCAGGGTTGTTTCTGGTGTTTTGATAATGGCTTGCATGCTGCTTTCTGGTTATGTGTTTGTTTGAGGGAAAAAAAAAAAATTACATCATCTCTTCCACTTGTGTTACTGTAATACTGGTTGGCTTGATTCAGAATATCTTGTGGACTGTTTATCATGTACAAAATGTGTTCCATGTCAGATAATCTAAACAATTACAGATGCAGCTATAATTAATGTACTGGTGTTTGATAACCACATCATTTCACACATGATAAATATTCTAGTATAGCTGCAGGTACCTCTCCAATTTCTTACATTACATAATGACCATGTCATTATGTATTTAAATTGAATTAGCTTGAGGGTGAGTCTGTCTTCACACTTGCTGTTTAAAAATAACTAAACTTCTTAATTAGTTGATTTGTTAATGGTAAAAATAAATCTTCAGACACTTCTGTGATTTCAGAAAACAGATTTAACTCTCGGCCAATTTTCAAAACATTTCTTACTAATCAACATTTTTAATTTTAATTTCTAACTAGTTTTATTCTCTTCTCTTGCATGGTATAAGCAGCTGAGAGCAATGCCTCAAATAACCAGAAATGACCTTTTGTTTGTTGATACAAATTGTATCTCTTTTTCTTGATTGTATAAAAACTGTGTATAAAAAAAAAAAAAAGCATCTCTAGATTAACTTCAGTATTACATTTTTCACCAAAAATGTTTGTGGCACCGTGTGTCACAGGGAAGTAGCCCATGGGTAATTATGGATCTTTTTATTTAAAATGGGCACTTATAGTTTATAGACAAACAAGGACAACTTTTCAAAACCAGTTTATAACGTGCACAGCTACAGTGTGTACACCTCAAAGCATTACATAAAGTTATCTTTAGTCTAGTTATTAAGCAGATACATTCTTGCACTAGAACTTTATGTAAAAAAAAAAATGTTGGTGTTAACAACTCATTTGCATGTGTTTAAAATATAACAATATAATTGCTGTAGACCCTGCCTTAGTCTTAACAGATTAATTTATAAATTATTTAGGTTTAAAATGAAGTTTATTGTGCACTCACACTTTCCATCTTGCATGGAATTAAATATTTATATGTAGAAAACTGTTTGTTTCCTTTTTCTACAATTATAAAGATGAGCTACTTTAAGAGGGATTTGGTAGGTGTTTATGATGTACTCTAATCTGGAAGCCTGAGCAGAAATTATTGTATGAAGTTTTGGGTGGTTTGTGGAGATACTAATTTTTGTACGACTTGTCTGGTCATTTTAGTTTTCAGTAACTTTTGTCTTGCCCATAGAATACATCCTTTTCAAAGGATGAGAATGTTATACCAATACAAATCCAGCATTTATCTAGGGCATGTTGAAGGCAAATTGTCTTTTTCTAAAAAGCTATGAGCATCTATCCTCCATAGAATTACAGAACGGGCAATGTAACCTTCTGGAAAGAGTTCGCAAATTGTGTGCTTGTCTATTTCGCCTTCAAAGTAATGAAACTTATATGTGATGTAGTGTCTCCTGATCAGCTAGTTTAAATGGTAATTGAGCCATCCACATCTGTTTTAAGATATGTTTACAAGTCAATTCAAAACACTGACAGTCATTAACCTTCAGCACATAAGCTTAGATTTCTTCTTACATAGAAGAGCTGATCTTAACACATCATAACTGTCTATATTGTAAATATAAGACTGTGCATAGATGCTCTTTTTGAGAGCATGATATTTAAATATGTTTTTAAAACTGTAAGAGAACAGTTCTAGAAGCTATATTTTAATAAAATCTGTAAAAAATCAACAAAATCCTAGATGGAAAAACTGCCAAAAAAAAAAAAAAAGAAGGTGCAGAGGTGAAATCCTGGTCTACTGCAATCAACAGGACTTCAACAGTAGACTTTAGTGGGCCAGAGCTTTCGCTGGGAGTTCTGATTTACTGTCTTTTACTTTAGCTGTATTATTTTCCCATCCTTTATCATATAAAAGTGCATAACCTTTGGTTTATTAGTTATGATTCAAAAGCAAATGCTTTCTAGGCTGTCAACCTAAGTTATTTAATGTTCTTATGTAAGTATCACATGTTAGTAATATATTAGACTGTATATAGAGGTTTTTTTTTTTTTTTGACTACTGTTAGTCCTGTTGTTGTCTTAATTGCACTACAGTAGTTTGCTTTATTCATTTGTAGAATTAAACATTATTGTTCAATTGCTGTAAAATTTTTATGAATCTCTTTGGGTTTCTTGGTTGACCCAAATATAATGTAAGTCGCAATGACAAAATGAGTGAAAAATGGATGTTAAACCAGTATTTGGTGTTCGTAAATCACTGTAGTAAGTGTGCAATGCTCTAACTGGTGCTGCATGTAATTCATTAACCAGCATGGCTGTCTGTTTAGCTTTTTGTAAAAATGTTTTAAATTTAAACTCTTAAGAATAGAAAGTGTGCATGCAGTTGCTTAGAACAAACACAAGAACCCTTATTAAAAAAAAAAAGAAAGAAAAAGAAAACACCCAAAAAACACACACCAAAATATCTATCTACTTAGGCCCATACACATACCTCTACTACCAGTTTGCCTCAAACTGCATTTTTGTGTATTGGAATTCTTAATGATAAGCCTAACAGCGTTCAGAATACTCAAAGAATCTGTCCAAATAAGTAAATTAAATAAATACTTGGCTGGTAGCACGCATGTATACCTGTGGTGCATACCACATCACAAATAAGAAAATTTCAACTGTCATACTTTTACTACAATCTTATATTTAAAAATTCCACTCTAAAGACAAGGGGCATGTATCATTTCAGTGAGACTTTGTTCCACAAAGTTGAAATATTATCTATCTTTGCCTTCCAAAAGTTCACCTGAAGCATTAGTACTATGTTATTCCAACCATAGATCTAGCACTCTTACTACCACGGTAAGTGTTCAGTTATAATATTCTTCTTTTACACCCACAGTATGTGGGACAGAGCCCTATTAACTGTAAGAATATCTCCCACAATATTTCAACTGGAAAAATGTAATTGAACGCTCACTTAAATTATTCTCGCCCAAGTTTCTGGTTAGTCTTTGAAGAACCATTATATAACATCTATGATTTTGGTCTGTTGTATTTAAAGCTTGTAAATGTACTAGAAGAATTGAGAGAGGACTCCAAAAGAAAACATATGCTATTTTCTGCTCTTCCCCCCCCCCCCCCCCCTTCTTTGTAACAGGTATGCACAATTATTTATTTGGAACATGTTATACTTTATATATAAAATTTGCTTACTTAATAAAACTGAGAGCCATTGGATTGTTTCTAGCGTTTTATTTTGTAAGCCTCTTTAGGAGACAATCTGAAAAAGCTCTTCTGTCCAAAACAACTGTCACAGTCCATCCAAATAATTTGTCACTATTTTTAGCTAATTTACTGAAAAAATACTCAGATTCTGAACTAATACATAATGCTTTGCTTTTCCATTTGTGTTTAAATCTGTGACGGACCAGGCCAAAACTAAGAGGCTCTGTCTTACTTTAAAAAACAGAGGAGAAAGCCTGCTGTATGACTGAGTTGCTGCTCTGTTAGAATAATATTCTTTGGCACTTTCTCTCTTAGGGGAATTGGCTTGGGCTAGTTCAAATTTTAATCCTTTCCCTGAGTATGGGGGAAGTGATACAATTTCATTTGTTACTACTACTTTGACTCAAACCACTTTGACTTATTGGGAGGGGGGAGGGGGGAAGTAAAGTTAATGAAAGTTAAATGATAGTGAGCTGTTGAAGCAGCTTCAGATAAAAACTATGCCCATGTTTGCTTTCAGGGTAACCTGAGCCAGGCTCTTTAAAAGACCATACAAATATATGTATTACAAAGTTGCATTTTCAAAATCCCAGGCACTTTATAGTTAGTTTATGTCCTCACAGCTATTACTGAAAAAAAGTACCAATTAGATTCTGCAGGATCATCTTCTCCAAAACTGTAACCTTTATTAAGTAGAGCTGAAGCACTTTTCATTCTGCGAAAGTAGCTGCCTTTAGGATGCAGGGAACAAAATATTAAAAGACAGACTTGCATAGACCAAAGTATCGTAAATGGTCCCCCCAGCCACTTGTATTGAAAAGCAATTTAAAAGCTAGAGGGGGCTACAGACAACACAGCGGTTCCAGGCCGCGCTTCCTCCCTCAGTGTGATTTATCCCAGCAGTCTTCCAGACAGTCCCAGCTTCCATGCTTCCATCTCATAGCCTTTCTCTAGTTTCCTATTGGAGAGGAGAGTGTCCCCCCCCCCCCCCCAACAGTAAGGTAGACCTGAATAAGTTAATTTACAGGGAGAAAGCAGTCTCAAGCAGTCCTGCCCAATGCAATGGATAAATCAAGTATTTTAGGACTCCATCAAAACTGCATTTCCTTTTTCCCACCCAGAAGATGATTCTTCTTCACTGAAAACTTCCTAAATAGGCTTGAAGAACTACTTGGTAAAAATACTAATCGAAAAAGGGAAGGGCTTACAAAAAAACACCCCAGCCTATTCTAAGAGGAAGTGAAGTTTGCTTTCCTCTGCATTGTGTAGAATCAGCACTGCTTGTTTCTGCAGAAGGAACATACAATGTACTTTCCCTTTTAAACAATTTTTGGCTGTCTGCTGAAAAGACAGTGACCACAGTAGGATAGGATGACAAAAATTACAATAAAGAAAAAAAAAAATTTACATTATGGATGTGTAGCTAAGCCAGCCTAAGGCTTCCATGAGGCTTTTGTTCTAAACTTGCAATTTAATCCTATCCAGTGTACTGCTAAAGTTGTTGTTTTGCCATCTCTCTTTCTACAGAATATTAGCATATAATGTCAGCAGTAGCTCTAAAGAACTAAAAAGATCCAATTTCACAATGCTGCACTGACATTTTCAAAGGCTGTTTCTGCTTTGTTTTTAAATACTGCAAATTCCCACTAGCCTGATTCAGAGAAAGGCTCAGTCTTCCAGTCTAATGGATACACTCCAACAAATTCTTACTGAGAAGTCTTGAAATAAATATACACTTAAGCTCCCAATTTTTCACCAGGTAGTTGCAGAAGCCTCGAAGTTCCACGTACCTTTAATATAGCCAAAGAAAACAGCATTTAGCAAATGCTAGCTCTAAGTCCTTTTTCTCTCCAACTTTTCAACAAGGTACTCAGCCCATTTCTGCAATAATCACAGTAGCTCCCAGTAACAATCATAATATTATTTATTGATCTCAGTGAAAGCATGAATAAGAACAACAGCAAGCAGAAAATTTTAGTTAAAAAGAGACAGTAGTGGCCTCAAGAGTATCACTTGAGAACATTGCTCATGAAGGGAAAAAAAAAAAAAACACCAAGATGTTTATGCACTGAACTGCATCTGAAATTGATTATTCAGCGATGCTACAGCTAGGCTTTGTCCCTGAAACTTCACATTAAATCCTAGCTAGATGAATATTATGGCAAAATAATCCAAACTCATACATGACTATATTAGCTTCACTGAAAGAGAAGGGCTCAGTATGAAGACCAGAGGATATTTTTCAGAATATGTGAGTGAAAAAGGAAAAACAGGATCTAGGAAGAAGGTTTTTTTCCTTCAGTCAAGTGTGTTCATTAACTGTAAGAAAAAAATGCTGAAGGATTTCAATATATACTAACTTTATTTCAAAAACATCAGCTAGAGCTAAAAGTTCATGCTAGTGGTTAAGCAGACAGTGATGACTATTCATGGAACTTAAAATTCAACTCCTTTATAAAGTAAAATTTACATGGTCAAAATTCAAAATTAGTAAATCTTAATGCAAAAAAAAAAAAAAAAAAAAAACTGGTAAAGCCTTAATAAAAAAAAAATAAAAAATTTTTAAAAAAAAAAAAAAAAAAAAAAAAAAAAAAAAAAGGTCCTGGAGTGGCTATTTCCATATCATTAATACTAATTCTTCCATGTCACTTATCTTGTGCAATACTGAAAGCTGCAGGACAATCTGCTGTCTTAGAAAAGCTGAAGGCCACTTTTTATTTTATGGAAATCATTCTGGGTCCATAACAATCCTCCTGTCACAGGGATATTTAATTCTGCAGAGCTGTGAAAGGAAGAAAAATAAGCCACATATAAGCATCAAACTGATTTAGAAGCTTACATAACCAAAGTAATTTTGCAGCACTCTAAACTTCATTAAGGAAGTTGTAATGGGGTTTTTTTATTTCCAAAACAAAATGCCATTTCTCACTTTTAGCTCTGGACATTTAGCTCCCAGATTGTTCATCAGTTCATTCAAGAGGGGGAAACAGGAAGGAAAGATTAGCAGCTACAAACATTTGCTAGGGAAACACGACTTCAGAAATAAGCACACAACAGTTTTCACCTGAACTATCGTTTGCAACTAGGAATACAAGCTAATTAGGTAAAATGCTAATACCGCAATGCTAACACTGACCTGAAACCTGACTACCATGAACTGTAAGCATTGCACAATATGTATAGGCACACGTCTGCCTGATTTGGTCCCCCCCATGCTGTGCCCAAGTTCTTAGTAACACCCCCCCCACACCCCTGCTGAGCAGGAGCAGCAGCACTCCTGAGTAGTCCGAGGAATCTTCTCCTCTCTTTGCACACACATTATATCACCTTTGTCATGACAAGGTCATTTTTCCCATTAAGGCAAAAAGCCTTCAAGCTCCAAACTAGTCCTTGCCAGGACTGCCTCAGCCCCAGAATGCTAATGCCTGGATCAGAGAGCATGCAGCACCTGGCACACAGAAACTAGCCATTCCTATGGCTCTTACAAAGAGGTAGTCACAGAAAATGTTTATACAGAGTTTAAAGGAAGTTATTGTTTGGTGACACTCACAGCATGCTGTCATTTCTAAATATAGAAGGTGACTTACTCTCAAACAGGCATAAAACCCCTTTCCACAGCAGAAGTTACGGAGTTAGGGTTGAGGCCTGGGAGATTCCCCCAAGCAACAACACATTAACATGACTAACATGGCACTCAAAGGAACAATAAGCTTTTATACAGTGTTCCAAGACATAAAGCACTGCTGAACACAAGGCTGAAAGAAAAGTTGGAGAACACAGGTGAACCATTCCTTATCCAAAGCTTTAATATGTGAAGGAACTTAAAGCACTGCCATGTGGTAAGCAGGTCATCAGCTAAGGGGATGTTTTATCACTTGTATTCATTTTAAGAGACTGGGAAAGGTGAATGAGCTAAATTTTAACAATAAAATGTCTTTAAAAGATCCACTTGAAACCTAGTGTCTGATATTTGTGAAGAAAAAGGGAAAATTTGGTTGTCTTTTGCAAGTTTATGCTCTCTAATCCTTATGCTCATGTAGTCCTAGCTACAGTTGAGGCTCCTCCAGAACAAGAATGTATTCTCTGCCCGCCCACTATCTTCACCCTTCAGCACATATTGCTGTCCCCCTTACCTGCTCACACATGTCATCCTTAGGACAATGAAATTCAATCAATATCCATGGCCATTAGATGATGAATCCCATTTCTGAAATGTCAATGCAACCTTTTGGTGCAACCCCTGAAGCAACTGCATGTCAGCAACTACACCCTCAGAAAACTCTCCAAGTGGTCATTGCCTACCCCAAAGTTTGTCCCTGTTGTAAAATAAAACTGACACCGGTAGTAAACAAAAGACACATTGCTTATACACAAAAAAGAAATATCTGTCTGAGGATGACAGCAGCTATTCAAAGCTTCAGAGGCTGCCACAGCAACCCTAAGCATGAACTTTGACAACACAGCACATCACGCACTAGAAGATCCACCAAAGAATACAACCTTTTGGGACCAGGGAGGAAGGAAACTGAAGGCTTTTCCAAAGCATCCAAGCATCACAGGAACTTATGTCCCACGTTAAAACAAAAGCAAAACCTCTGAGGACAGAAAACCATTTCTGCAAACAAGTTCTAAGATATCTGGGAAGCTTGATTTACAGCAACTTGAAGTTATACACTGAAAAGCTCAATGCCTTTTCCAGATGATCAGTCCAGGAATCACTAGCAATAAAGCAGAGGCTGCTGCTCAGAGCTCCTCAGAGACGGATACTTTCTCCTCCTAAGGTCAAAATACCTCCCAGTCACTCCCTTTTCAGATGAAACACTGCCAGGAGCCTTGCAGATAAAGCCAACACAGAAAGATCAGAGCTACCTCATTCAGTGCAATGATCAGACACTTTTTCTCTAGCTGATGGGAATTACCCAGAATTCAGCTTGCTAACAAGGTCATCTTTCCTACCCAGTCATGTACTCTCCTCATCACTCATGACTTCGCAGACCTGCTGTCATCCCCAGGACAGAGATTCTGGAGACAGACACTGACATTCTCCACCTCAAATGTACTGCAGAAAGTGTGTCAAGAGTAAGCTCATCACAGTAGATTAACTGCTTTTTTCAGGAGGGATGAAACTAGACTACTGTCAAGCAGGGTAACAACATTTTATTACTTGAGATTCAAGGGAGAAAGTGCTCGTTGAATGATCAGAGCTACTTTGTTCCACAACTACTTGCTTGTTACTAATTTTTTCCAGTTGTATATCTGCACAGACAGCTAAATATATGATAATGGACTACAGGCTCAAAATTCACTGGTTTGGACTGGATTCCGCTCTTTTGGAACTATTTTGCTTCTCTGAGATTCAGGCTATTCTGTTTTTAGGAAAAGCACGCTTGTCTTTGGGAAGATCTGATGGTAAACCAGAGAAACTGTGCAAAAGGTTCCACAAGGGACCAAGCTGTGTGGCAAATGGTGGACAGAGAAACAGGAGCAGGGAAAGAACAAAACAGGACCTGATTCAACAATCTGGTGGGAGAAAATCTGCGGACAGCTAGGTTGTTGATTTAGTCTTTAAGCTCAGGGAAGGCACGTTCTCCAATTTCTTGAACCTCCAGAAAACAACAACAGAAACAGAAAGTGTGAAACGTGGGAGTTGAGAAAGGCTCTTGATTGTCTCTAAAGATTGGTTCATCTTTAAAAGGGAAGGGAGGTTGTCAGCTGAAACATATTTTTCCTAGCACATCTAGGAAAGTAAGCTTTTTTTACAGACTCATTAGAAGCAGAAGACCTCAAACAGGGTAGGCAGAATTCAGGCAGATGTTAGACAAACATCATAGATGAAACACATTTGTAAGATTACCAAGACATTACTTTGCCAGCTGCACACCTGGTGAATTAGGTCTGCAACAACAGATTGTGGTTCTGTTACATGACTTGTTCCAAAGTCCTTTTACCAAATTAATTTATGTAACTGTGCTCCAGGAAACTCTGTCTGCAGTTCATTACCTTGATTGGCTGTAGGTTTGTTAAGCCAGAAGGAAAAGTAAAGATGGCTATTCCTTTGTAAAAGAGATGTATCTCATTACTTATGTTGCAGATGCTTTTCCTAAGCATCTTTCAGCATCTTTCCAATGTAAATTGGAATTCCAATTTGATTTCCAATGAAATCAAATTTTCAGTCTCTTGTACCATACTGTGGTTACCCTACGCTGAACTTGACAGAACAGGTCTCTGTAGACAGAGAAGCTGGAGGGCAGTACTAAAGTAGTAAAAATAGCAAACACTCCTTTTGGAAGAATCCAAACAAACCCCTTTTGAAGGGGAAGCAGAAATCCATGTTGCTGCAAGACAAAGAACAAGGTTTCCAAATAGAAGAACATACGAGAAGTAGCCAAGAAACCGTTCTGCTCCCCTATCTCCTGGCAAGTCAGACAACCTTCCAGATGCCACGTGGCCTTTGGCAGAAGGAGAAGCTGCTATGCAAGGGGAAAAAGAAGAATGAACAAATTATTCCTGTGATAGTACTGCTGAAGCCTAGATTGTTTCCAGGCCCAGCCATGAGAATAAACCAGGTTCTGCTCCTTTTCATTTGCTTTAGCAGTTCTCCCTTATGTTTCTTTCCCAGCTTTCTTCCTTGGCCTCCTGCCAGATTGTGATCTGAGTAGCAGAAACCCTCTGCCCCTTCCTTTCACCCACACAAAGGGATAGAGAAACACTTGTTATTTTTGGCCTTGTATCTGCTTTTTTATTCTCTATGAGGGTATTTTCTAGTAATATGAGCTGCATGACATGTTACACTCACCATTAGTTCAAACTACAGCCAACTGGAAGCAGAAAGCACTGTATGAAGAGAAAAATAAATCCATCTCCTTGGCTGAGCATGGAGGAAGCTCTTGTAATTGTTCCTCTCCGCACCTCTGGCCACACGGAAAGCAATTATTCGGGACAGAAGGGAAAGAAACACCTGCTGGCTTATTTCAGAGTCTGAAAAACGAAGTGCCAAAACCTCCATACCTGGCTAGCAGCTTTTTAATCTGCAGACTATATAAAATTGTTTCTCACCATGACTAAATCATATTTCAGAATACAGTCCAGGCTTTTTCCTCCAAAGGACTCTAGTACTACTGATAAGGGAAGGAAACTAGCTGGCAGGTCTGCAAAGAGCTGTCACTCACCAGGGAAGGGCAGTGCAATACCCATTAACTCAAAGGGATACATCCATGTGAACTCTACCATTTAATGAAAAAAAAATACATTTTAAAATATGGGGTTTTTTTCCTAGTCAATCTTAGATTCACAGGTTGAATGAACTTCAATTCTAAAGCCAGTAAAGAAATGACTGTCCTTTAAAAAAAAAAAAAAAAAAAAAAAGGAAGCAACTGTTATTTTTGCTCCAAATACAGTTAAGTGAATAAAAGTTGCACAATGAAATCAAACCCACTATCTCACCACTCCTCTGTTTGCTCTCAGAGTAGCCAGAATCATGTGCTTCAGAAGACAGCACAAAAACATCTAAATCAGTGGTCTGACAGAGTTTGTACTTAGAGGAATTCCTTTGTTTGCAGAGCAGAACCTGAAATCCTTAGATGATTTTTAATTCCTACTACTCTAGAAACAGCATACAGCCACTACTCCAAGAAATATACTGGGATTACATAACACCCGACGCCTACAACACACAAGTCAGAAAGGCTACATGCTTCAGCTGGCATCGAGTAGCAGGTCATGAACAAGCTGGAACAGTGAATCACATTACTCCATATGCATTTCTTTACACATTCCATAACGACGATTCCATCTATTGCGCATAGCAAAATCCACTAAGCCAGTGAGGCATGAATTAAGAACCACGCTGGCTAGATGCTGAATGGTGTCAGAGCCTGCTGGCTAGATGCTGAATGGTACTCATTACTGTAGCTAATTAGAATTCTGCTGCAGCTCCTTATTCTTAGCAGCGATTCACCTACCTAAACATTAAGTTGAGCAGCTTTACGTTTAAAGTCTCTGAAATCAAGCAGTCCTTTGTGACTGGGGTGAGGATGCCGGGGCTTTACAAACTGAAAGCAGATCTGCAGATTCCAAGAATTTGCCTTATTCCAACATGATAGAAGAAAGAGAATGGAAACCTTGCTCTTCAGAACTAGACACAAATCTGAAGACAATTGAATAGGCGAAAATATGAATATATGCAAGGGCATTTCCCACTGCAGCACCCCAGTCTGCATTACTGTCACTGTTATTCATATCTAGTTTTGGAAACCACTAGACAGTCCATCAACTACACTGATTAAAAAGTTACTCTGTCAAGTGTTTAAGAAACAAACTACACTTTATTTATATTTTGAAGCGTTCCTTGGTGGCAAATACATGTAAGTCCATCCACTACAGCGTATGTGACAAAATTGACTTGGCAGCTAACAGCACTTGAGAACCTTTGACTTCAAAGGTGAAATAATGACCCTATTAAGAAGTCTTCAGAGGGATGGCTTAAATGGATAAGTTTCACTTGGTAACAGAGAAGATCCAACTACAGCTTTCTAAAAATGCTACCTACCATCATTTCCATGACAACCGTATTTCTTCAGTGAGTTCAGATCTGCAACTTGAATCACAACAACTCTGAAAAAGTCACTGGGCGATGCCAACATACTGTGATTGAGGATCTGAGGCCTAATTAATAGAAACTCAGTTTTCAAGTCTGCTGAGGCTGTGCTAATAACTTCCAAATAGCTTAGCAGCAGTATCTCATAAGGGACAGAGCATAACCCAAGCAATAGTTCCTTTCAGAAAGAGCAGGAGCGAGGATGATAACATTACGAGTTGGCTTCCTCAAAGAGCACTAGAGAAACTATCTTTCTGATTGCCACTGGTGCCACTGCATTTATCTTTCAGATAGTGCAGAAGGCTCATTCGTAGAAATAAATGGGAACGGCTTGTATAACAGCTACAGTTACAAACAGCAGCTCTCAATTAGCCTTGATGACAGGAAAAAGATGAAGGAGACAAATGCAGAACTATGAACCCTGGCTACGTTCCTTCAGCTTGGAAGGATGACTGTTAACAGCTTTGTGAAGTAGCTTACTACGATACTCGGGAGTTGTCGCAGCAACGCTAGGTAGCAATAACTTATGACTGGGTCCTTCAAGGGTGCAAGCGCACTAATGCAATACAAGCAAGCAGGAAGAGGAAAGATAGCGAGGAGAAAAGATGATTCCACTCTTTTTGGATTAACCACAGTATGAATGACTGGGGCTACAATGACAATGACCTTACTCAGGAAGCTTCTATAGTTTCCACCTCAACTTTACAGAAGAGATACACATTTGCATTCACTGATGCCAAACTCTAAGCACATTCATCACCCGTATTACATACGGCCAACTCCTTCTTCTGGTGTTATGAAAGCAGTCTGTAATCAACCACTTCCTGTGGCTACCTTCTCTCCTCATCTCTAGGCTTTCCCACTAATACACCTCAAAGTCCTTCAGCAAACACTGTGTCTTCTAGAAAGAGTCCCTTCCCACTGAGAATTAACTAGTCTGGGATAAATAACACTGGGTGAGGCTAAATGACTTGTCCAAGGTCAGGCAGTGAAAATATGAGAGAGAGAATACCTTTAGCTATGTCTCCTGGTTTGTAGTCCTTAGTGCTTTAATGGGAAGAACTGTGGCCTTGCAGTTAAAGTTTTTCAGCTCAGTGTTCCATCAGGCAGATTCTGCACCAACTCTCAGTAGAGTTGGTTTTAAAAATTCTGCACTTCCAGGGGTCAGTAACTCTTAGGTGATTAGCAGACTGTATCTTACTAACAGCATCAGACAACAGTGAAAGTTATCGGCACAGTTCAAAGAGCAGACTATTACCCTGTTACATCAGCGCTGTAAAGGTCCTTCCAAATACACACGTTACTTGACAAATGAATGAGAAAAGAACAGTTAGCAGATATTTTGGTCAAACTATTACAGAACTAAACAGGAATCACAAATTTTTCACACTGTAGTACAAGGCAGGGAGATAAACGCATACTTAATGGTTCAAGGACAAAGTCCTGCCCACACCATTACTCACTTTGTACTGGAAGACTTCCACTCATCTCTCACTGGCTGATCAAGCAAGGACATCATGGAATAATTATCCAACATGAGACCATCAGGATCATCTGTCTGACCTGGGAGTTTCCCAATAGGAAAGTCTTTCCATTGTACACCATCTGGGTAAAAACAACATTCAGCACATGAACAAGAAGTCTGAGCTCCCCAGATGGATTTTCAAAAAAAACAAGAATCACCACAAGTACTGTCTCATGCAATTCAGGTACTCAGCAAGAACTTTATGATATAGATTTGAGCTACATAGTTTTAACTCATTTTACTTCTAACCCTACTATCTTTTCCAAAGAATGAAATTGGAGTATGTAAGACAACGGGAAAACATCTGCAGTCATGTATCATCATGGCTCAGGCTATACAGTGCAGCCTGTCCAGACCACTGTGAGGCAGGGCCCATTAACAGAAACCCCACAATATTCTGGAGCAGCCCTTAATATTTACCTCTCTCTTTTGAGCAGATTTTCGTTTGAATCTGAAGTCTTGATTTACGTATGTTAATTAAAAACCACACTATGAAAAGGGCTTCTAAAAAATTCACTCTGCATACTCCTGTAACGGAAAGAGCCATCCGTACACATATGAAGATACAAAACAGCACGTTTGCACCCAGTAGCTCATTCCTCCAGTGAGAATGAGAACCAGCTTCTTCAGGACTCACTGAGATTCCCAGCTGCAGAGCAACAGTGTTGAGTAAACAGGAACTGAAGCCACAGAAGCAGAAGAATAAAAGGCTGGGGAAGCCTAATTAACCAATAAAACAATTCTAGACAGACAGGTAGGGATGACATGGCAAGGAAGAAGAACACCGCAGTCTCTTGGAAATTCTGCTAATTATTTTTACAAGCACTTAGGATTCCTATTGCCGGACAGCTTCACATTTCTTAAAATTTGGCTTCCAAAGCAGGCCAGAAACTGCACACTGGGAAACCACCCATGGCCACTGATAATATTGATGAGTCTGCTTCTTTATACCTCTGCACCAAAATTTCACAGGCAGTTCCCAATAGGGAAGACCCCTTTTAGATGTGAAATCAGAAAGAAATTTAATTAAATGAAAGATACACATTATGTATCATTGTTTTGACAATAAGAGTTCTCAAACCCTCCAGCTTTCCTGATACCAGAACACTAACTCTGGAATCTTTACCAGCAGCACAACAAAGGCTAGCAGGCAGACCTCAAAACATAGGAGACTCCACTCCACAGAGCCAGCAATAATTATACAGATGACTTGAGACCCCTGATAATCATGGAGAACTTGGCCAATTCATTGTCTTTGCCTGAAACTGATTATTTTTGTTATCTGATAACTGCTCATAAATACAGGCCTTGCCCTAAAGAACCAGCACACTACTTCTATTTTTGCTTTTATGCCCTTTTTGGGCATTTATGGAACAAAAACTCTTGACCTAGGATGGTGATTTCTAGCTGTTACAATTTTACAATTAAAGGTGCAGAAATTGCATTTGGCGACATCTAATGCAACTGTAAGGCAAATACTATTTTATATATCGAACAGGCTGAGTCCTTTCTTTAGGGAGCAAACCAGTAAATATCATTATACCACTGGTTGCCCTGGTACTGTACATACTTAGTGGCTACAGTTTTCAAATGTTTAAGGGTGGTAACTACATAGCAGTTATTAAAACAGAAATTAAGTTTGCCCATAACCAACAATGTTAATAGAAACTTCATAAAAATCAGGTGACCCAAGGTTTATAGATGTTAGGCACTATGCATGTTCTTTCAGTGACAGCTTTGCTTGCTCTGAACCAAACTCAGCTAAGCAAAGGGCATTCTTGTTTCCATTCTCAAAACATCCAACGCTAACAATCTGTTCTCATCAGCATAATTAATCTGAGCTGCCTCAACAGATCAAACTTTTTTTTTTAAACTTAGGAAAACTCCCCTGTGAGTGAGGTACAAGAGCTCATTGTCTTCCAGTGACTGCACTTTTCTTCTTCCTTCAAACACCGCTTTGCCATCAAATCTCTTTCTTCTGTCTTCAAGTCCCTCCATAATTCACTTCTCCAAAAATCTCAGCTGCAGAACCATCCACCCCAATCAACAAGTATAGCTACAGTAATGGAGCTAACACAGCACTAGCTAATCATTTATTCACTCTGCAAACTTCTTTCCTTGTTCCTTTCTTTAGCTTGCCACCATATCATGACTGCAATTTTCCTAGACCCTGGAACTTACCAGCATATGGCTGGCGCTTCCCAGTGTAGCCAAACACTGCTTTCAAATACCCCTAGGTCTGACAAACAGAAGCTTTCAGCACATATTGCTGAAATCCAGGAAGCATCCATATTTTCTTTGCCATTCACAGTTTGGCATATATCCTGCCCTGTCAATTGGATACAGTGAAATTTTGAACACAGAGTTTGGAAAAGCCTAATAAAAAAAAGTTAGTGAAGCAGTAACAACATGCTCCTGGAAAAAGCACTCCGAGTATTACGAGGGCTTTTAGGGAGAAATAACACGCGCACATAAAGACTGAAAAAAATCCCCAAATCCGCAGGGATGCGGCGCTTAGATGATTTTTGAAGCGCTCTTCAATTCTGAGTTGCCCCAGAAGGCCTTCACGTTTCAGTCGACGTTTGCTAGGGATGAAGATGTTCTAAGTCTTAAGAAGCCACTTTTTACCTGCAGCAATCTGCCAGGCAGACCCTTGCAGCACAGCCTGTTTTTCTGCAATAGCCAGCATGTTATCAGAATGAGCAAGTCCTTCCAAAGGATTTGTTTCAGTTACCATCTCTTCTTCTTCCTCCTCCACCTCCTCTTCACCATCATGTCTCCCCAGCGCATCTTCTCGTCTCTCTACAGTCTGCTCATGATTTTTAGCCTGATTTTCTTGCCTGGCCCTCCACTGTAAGCTCTCTATAGTGTAAATTGGCTGTTCACTGCAGTCTGAAGAGAGGCCTGGACTGGACAAAGGGCCACCTCCTTCCGTGTAAACGGAAGTGAGATACAGAAGGTTCTTCCGTGAAGAACGAGGCAAACGAGGCTTCATGCTTGTAAGAATCCTAGAAAGGAAAAAAAAAAACATTGTAAAAGTCTTAGAAGCAAAAAGAGATTCCAGATGGAGGTTTATGAAGCTCAGCAGCCTTTTAAGTCTGAGATTCCTCCAGGACAGCTTGCTCACATATTTCCATTAAGAAGCAAAGCTGATTATTCCCAAGAAGCGCATGCTGGAATACTCCCTCTTTGTGGTAAAAATTAAGGACTTGTGATACTTCTAACTGAATTTCTCCTTTGTTATTTTCCCCTTAAATAGTTACCAACTATGCTAACCCCATATCACTGGTATGAGCAGCCACATCTCTGCTATAGGTCACTTTTCTTCCAGCCAGGTTGTTTTTCTTATACCTCCCCAGATATTTTCCACTTTCTTTTTGAAGGAGCAACCAATAAGTTCTGCTGCTTCTCTTTGTAGAATCAATAGGGAGATGAACAGCAACAAGCAGGGCGTTATATGTATCTACCACAATTTCTGCAGGATGGAAAGGAAGGGAACACAGACATAGCAGCATACCACACGTGAGCTGGCCAAAGCCATTACGGAACACTGCTCTCTGTCCCCTTTTTAGGTCACAGGATCAAACTTACAGCTGAAGAAGGTGTGGGGTTGCCCAGCAGGGAGCATCCAAGCAATTATCAGTGAGTCTTATCCATTGCAAAGGAACTTTCTGGAGGAACAGCTCCTTCACATATATCCGTTTGTTGCAACGGCGTCTTTTCTTCCCTTCAAAGACAATAGCAAAGACAAAGTGCTCAAAACTCATTAAAAAATATACCCTTCATCCCTTTGCATTTCTACTACAGCTCTGATCCTCAAGCAAGCCGGCATTTCAAACCAGACCCAAGACCAGATACGCTGACCAAACGTGCCAAGGTAGTTACAAGGGACTGGCAATGCAGTGACAGCTAAATCAGCTCCACAGAACGTGATAAACAGTGAGGTGCAGTTTCCCAAGCTGCCACTGCGCATGCCATCTCAGATGTGGAAATCATGGAGCTGTGTTTTTACAGTATTGTCCCCAGTAAATGCAATATACAACTTCCGAGACCTAAGACCATTCCAGACAGTGCTGAAGGGAGCAGACTTAACAGCTGGGAATGACTCATGTTCAGGGATCTTGGTACATAACAGACACACTCAGTGTTGACTGAAAGCATCAAATAAACCTGAACCTTTGATTGCCATAGGTATGGGCAAAATCCTAGTGTGCACTGAGCCAGACTGGCAGAGGAAAGAAGAGGTGGCAAAATGACACCAACTGGAAACCTCATGCAGGCCTGCACTATTTCTCAATATGAGTCCTGTTGATATAACTCTTACGACACCCTTCAAATAATTAAAGCTCTTCTAGTGCAGGTAACAGAGAAAGTGCAGCTGTCTCTGGAAGGAAATATATTGGTCAATTTAAACAGTTCTAAGGAGTTAGAAATTGAGAGCAAAAGATTACTTACTACTTTTGCCTAAGTTTAGAACACATGACAAATCCTGTGATGGGATTAAAAAAGGATACCAAGACTGTGTAAGTATCTTGCAAAGGCATGCTTGTGTTAAATGAGGAGAGAACTGAAAACAAGGGACTCATAAGAATTTGCTTATTACATGTCTATTTGCTATCTATTTGGTAACCATGTTACTAGTATTAACTTCATTTCAAAAAAAAATATCCCGTAAGGAACTGATCTGTCATGGAAGAGACTGGCTTTTCACATCTTGAGGAAGCCACAGCAAAGCTGCCAAAGAAATAATAATTCCAATTTTTTTGCTAAAAAATGCATGACGCACATAAGCTACCAGTTAAAAAGTATAAGAAGTGCAATGCTGAAAGCTCACAAAATGTACTGATTAGAATACTGCCTTTCCTGTCCAAAGGACCCACTACCCTTCCAGTTCTTGCAGTATTACAGAGGAAATTCTTACGTTTTTTCCACACAAACTTCAGACTGACTCACCAGCATTAACTCTAGCAATGCTAGTCAGCATCTCAGAAATCCAGTTGATCAGGAACTGAGGCCGAAGTTCTGAAGAGTCCGAACATTCCTTGAGCTCTGTAAACATTTTCTCTATTAGGGTCTGTGTAAAGCTTCGGGAAAGAAGGCCCGTCAGCAAAGGCCGCCAGAAGCAGTAAAATGTCTGAGGAATTTTGAACTGCAATATCTCTTTATTTGCTGCAATAAAAAGAAAAAGAGCCAAAAATCAGTGATGAAAAGAAAAGCGCTCTGACTGCAAAATACTGGTGTGATGCCTGTTGCAAACTAAGTAGCTTGTACTGAATTCACTGGTTCCATGTTCTATTCTGGGAACTCCACTGAACTTGGAGCTATTAATTTCCTATACTAGGAAACTAAAATCAGTAACAAATGGATAATTAACAAAAAAGTTCAACGAAAGCAGAAAATACGATGCCTAATCTAATCACATTGCAAACCACAGGAAAATCTACTTCTGTTTATTAATTCCTTGACAATTTCAGCTTATTTCCCACATAACAAAGAACTGTTCTGTCTAAAAATACACTGCAAAGAGAAGGCTCACTGATCCAAAGCTCCTGATATTTTACTACTATATTACAGTCACAGAAACTTGAGGAACTTTCCAAGAAAGTTCTTTGGCTGATGTTTCCAAAAAGTCCTAGGGAAATAAATAAACTATTAATTTTCATTGCTTTTAGCTACCTAATTATCTTGCAGAAAATCTAAGCATCTCCAGACCTGTGGACAGCAGCATCGAACTAAGACAAAATTGAGGTGAATAAGGCTCAAAAATAAAACCCCATTACCTTTGACTTGCTTTAAATCTTCAATGTAGAAAAGAAATTAGTTGGAGTTCATGAAATCAGTAACTAGTGCAGATGTGGACAGAGATGCCAGCTTTGAAAGAAATCTCCTTAACCATGCAGCATTCAGTGTAGAAGAAGTATCCTTCCACCAACAGAAATACATGTAAAAGCAATGGGCAAACACGGCCATAAAGGGGTCAGGAGAACAGGTCAAAAGATGTTTAAGAACCCAGACAAATGAAAAATACGTAGAGTATTATAGCTTTAAATATGAGGGAAAAAAAAAACAAATTGGACATAACACTAGCTGTGCACTTTTTACTTAATTGTATGGTGCTCGAGACACTGACCTTCATACTTGATATTTAACGTCTTCAGACATTCCACTGTTGGGATGAGAAAGCCATCACTGAGAAGAGCTTCAGCCACTGTCTCTCTAGAGCAATCACAAAGCCTCGTTAACATCACGTATGCCTTTGCATTTCAAAATACTCTTTGTACCAGCTCTGCAACAGTTTGTGAGCCAAATACCTGTAATTCAAATTACAGGCTCCCAACTATGAGGAGGTGCTGTAGCTTGTAGTAGGGCACTAAAACGTCATACCAGCTTTGGGATGGCTATATCCCACTAAAATTGGAGGGGATATGTAGTCGTGCAAACTACATATCTATAATCTACAGAACCAGAACCGGGAAGAAAACATTGCTTGAGTTGCAGAGGAAAATAACTGCCACTGATATTACATAAGCAGCATACAAACATTTGTCATATAACATTTATAATACTGAAATATCTGTAATTGCAGTATGATCTATGTCTTCTGCAAGCACGTCAGCCAAGATTTGAGAACCCCTGACCAAAGGGGCAAGATTAAACTCCAGGGGAAAAGCAGACTCTCTGGGTTCCTGGTGGCAAGGCACTCCTTAATGCCCTGTTTACACAGCTGTTCAGCAGACAAGCCGCTGTTAGATCACAACTGTTCTTCCTTACAGCACCTACAGCTTTTTTTTGGGTATTTCCTACCCTCACAGCTATCATATGAACTACATTTAGCCTGAGAGCACTGAATGGCCCAGCTGAAGGACCCATCTGCTACTAGGCTGGCTTAATACCAGTGAACTGAGAGACTGAGGACACCCACACTGGTAAGCCGAGCAGATGCTTGAAAGTAAAATACAGCAGAAGAGATAGAAGCAAAATTTCCACAGCTACCACTATAACCAGCCACGGGCTTCTACCGAGTTCAGTGTTCAGTAACATGCAAGAATATAGAGCTAAAACAACACTTAGCATAAAAATCAAGATGTCCATTTTCAAACACCAAATAAATTCCACAGAAACAACTGCTGTCGCTATCAGGCTCTTTGGATTTGGAATGGTATGACTCATGTAAAGTATAACCTATTTTTGTAAAGAATGGATGAGAAAATTTATTGTCTTCTCCAACAGGAACAATTTCCAAATCTAAACATTCATGCATGATTTAGATCCAATAGAGGGTTTTTATAAACACAAACAGCAGTCAAGGATTTGAGGGCAGAAACAATGCAAACGCTACACCGCTTTGTCTTAGGTAGATGATGTGGTGGGAGACCAACTTTTATGAAGGCAAATGATAGTATGTAATTTATTTCTGAAAACAAAATCCAATTTCAATTCTCTTCTTCTCTGGAAACTCTTCCAGGATAATTACTATTATTCCTACATGCAATGACTGCTCATCATCAACAACTTAAGGCCATCTCCATGCAGACGGTAGTTTCAATAGAGAACCTTCAAACAGAAGCACATCTGACTAAGGAAGGCCCACTGGGTTAGCTCCATGAAGCAGAGGGTTCTTTGCAGTTAGCAGCTCATTTTGCTTTAGCTCTAAAAGAACCTTCTGCCCTCGGCACAATCCAAGTTACAAGGTATGCTGACAGGGGAGATGAAAGCTTTACACAGAATTACACGGGGATTCTAAATTAGAAAAGTATTTTCACAGATCATTTGACATATTCAAGAGATCTCATAAGCCCTGTTATCCCTTAATTCAAAATCCAAACCTAAACTTGTCAATTGTATTTCCTGCCTGCCTGCCTCCCTCCCCGACCATCTTCTGTGAATGATCAAAAAATTTTCTATCTTAAATGAAAGTAAGAAGTTTCCTGCATGTCCTTAAATTAAGCATCTTCAAAAATACATCTGCAGTTAAGACTGCAGTTAACCACATCTTCAGTTGAGAAGGAAAGCACAATCAGTTAGTCCTTCAGAATACTTGGTTCACAGAGAGGCCACTAGGAAGCACAAGGCCCAGCTGCATTAGTGATACATGACAGATTCCATGGGACTGATATAGGAAGATAGCTACAGCCTTTCAGGACATACACAAAACAGAGCAGATGCAATTTGCACTACAGTATTCAAAATATTCAACTTCTAGAAACCTGTGTGTGCATAAACATATATCTGCAAACATATGATTAAAGATTGAAGGGTTTTTTTTGTTTAAGTAAAAAAGTGACTTTCTGTTGTAAGTACTTGTGTACTCATTGCTTGTCTGGTAGCATACTATTATTTATCCTCTCTCACACAAGTGTCAGGTGGCTACAACTGCAGAATGGACTGGTAGCAAGGGCTACAGAGGATACAGCTTTCATTCAATTTCTGAAAGCTTAAGAGAACCTATGACCGTTCATGTGTAAACATTTAATGGAGAATTCCCTCTAAAAAAAAGACAAAATTTGCATTTAAGAGAAACTCCATGCTTTCTTTATGTTGCTGTATAAAGATCAGTGGAAATCAGAGGGCAATAGGGTCTGATTTTCAACACAGTAACACAGTATTACTGATAAAGAGAGGCAGAAGGCACATGCATGAATCCTTTCTGGGAGGGGCTTCTAATCACTCTTGACTCTCAAAGAAAACGTGTAGGAAGCTAAAAGAAGTCACTATTCAGAGCATCTATCCCAGAAGCTGGATATAGGCACAGCCTCCCATTAGCTATAAATATAACAGCTTGTGTTCTTTAAAAGTTGTATCTGGATGGTAGAAAAAAAAAAATAACACAAGACGAAGCCGATGCTCAGGGATGAAGTATGGGAATGACTGCCAAATTCTAGAGGTGACTCTGCCATTCTGAGGCCTCTAACCAGCAATGTAAACAATCAGAACCTCTGTCTCCCCCTTCGTAAGTGGGAATGCAGTGCCTGACCATTTGCCACACTCAAACACTTTGGCTTGTTCTTGCAGAGATTTAGCATTTGTCAATAAGGATGCTTATTTTGTGTAAGCCAGTGCAGCATATAAATGCTTTGTTCTGATGCAAGCATGGCTTTTGTCCTGTTATTTCGCTGAAATGAGCAACAGCATGGAAAGCTTCCGTCAGAAGAGGGCTTCATTAGAAAAAACAGATTGATTATAAGCAGTTGCTCTCTCAAGCAGAAATGTATAAATTCAAGCAACTTTCATTAAACCACAAACAGGTTCCCCCCTGGGGACTTTCTTGGGGAGAGGAGGAACATGGGACAGCCAGCAGTCCTGCAGGAAAACAAGTCCTAAGGTTCAGAGCTAGAAGATTGCTAGCTCTGTTCCTTCCATTTAAGTCAGACTGATCATAATTCCAGGCTTCCTGCCTTACACAGTGCTCTTCATAGCCTCACTCCTCCAGCTGTCTCCTCCTTTTATTTTACCTCAAAAACCCTATCTCAAAATATAATTTTTCCTCCAAACTAGAATATCCCTTCTGTAACTCTCCCCTTCATGAAGGGAAACATTTTCAGAATACCAGCATTTCCCCAAAGTTAAATTCTAAGTTTTGAACAACTCTAAGTAATAGTACATTTATGTATTAAATGTTGAACTCATTTAGGTAGCAGCCATTGATAAATACCTCAGTTTGCATATTTCTAATTTGAAGTACCATCAGGTGATCTACTTTAGTTGGAAGACAAACACTTGGCTGCAGTAACTGCTACACTGCTGAGCACCTACAAATTAAACACAGTATTTCTTCATCCATATAGAATATGCTTTACTTCATTTTGTCAGTGGCTTATTATTTGTATTGTTTCTGGGAATCCCGTTCTGCCACACACAGTAGTGACATATGCCCACTCAACCACCAGTACAAAGACAGAAGCCAGGAAGCAAAATCATCTCAACATTTGATGCTCGACAAACTCTAGCCCAAGGCTAAACATAAAGGGTATTAGTGATGTACCAGTGCCATGAAAGAGTCATTTAACATTGCACAAAGAAGCATTATGGTACCATTATCATGTTTGGACTTTCATCTTTCCCACTCCCCAACCCATCTGATCTGACTGAATGTCAGTCACCTTCACCTCATGACAGCGGAAGTTAAAAGCAATTTTGATATCCTTTGGTGCTGTGCACAATTAGAGCTACAACAGCTTCCATTGCAATAAAATGAGTCAGCTTGCTAATGCCAGCACTTTAGGTTGGCATAAAAGGCCTGGCATGGGGTTTTTATTAAGACACATGCATGCTGCTAAACGAGCAATTGTTTGATATCAAGCTTCTCCCTTAAGGGTCCAGGCAGCAGAAAAGGGCAGGCTGGGTTTCAGGACAAAGATATGGCTGCATGAAACAGCCTTCCAGACTTACTTAATAATTCACCATGGTTCCAACAGCAGGCTGCCAAGAAAATGGCAACACACAGATGGATGGCTAGTGGGATTTTTCTTCCTACTTTTTTTTTTTCCTCCCTACCCCCCCACTTACACAGCTCAGCTTTGACACACAGCGCATTTACAGGTGTTTTTAGAAGTGTAATAAAGGCAGCAACCTCACTGCAGTGCTAGTCCCAACCTTTGCTTTTCACAGTACATATTCTTGCTGGGGAAGGG